GCGTCGTCCGGAACATGGTCGCCATTCGAAAACTTTTCGCCCCAACGGCCAACAGATCTTCTTTTCTCGCTATATATCCCGCCCACTTTAGCTGAGCAATTCGTCGATTAGTTTTCCTACAGATATCCACGTTTCTTATTCGATCGCGTGGGAAAATAAAAAGCATTTCTCTTAACAGATTAACTCTTAAATCGATTGTTGCGACGATTTAACAAAAAATAACATCTAAATAAGTTCTAATTAAAAACAAGCAAAGGTAATTATATCGGATTCATCGTGAATTAGGTACCTACCTCTATAATTTATGTTTCCTTTTTTAACCTGTAGATTATTTGCAACACGTTTACAATAATCATATGATTTGCTAGTAATTAACTGAAAATAGGTTTACGCGTTTGTCTTTTGTGTTCACCTTCAACCTTAAATAGCGCGTAAATTCAATTTAAGTCTTATGACGTTTTTTAATAAGGATATTTTTTGCGACAACACGAAGTATCCAGTGTCTTACAAAAAAGTAACACATGAAATTAATTATATTTGTATAAACTTCTACAGTTTTTATGTTGAATTTTATAACAAGATTTAGTGAAGTTATTTATTTTTCTATTTCTTGAATGTTTATTACCGAAGTAATGATTAATGAGTATTTCTGTCGAGTGTTTGAATGCTTGGGAAAAACTCACCTTACACATCGGCATCTAAGCGACTACTTGTTTTACAGTCGTTTCTCCCCAATCCTACTAGTTACTAGTATTGTATTATATTTTGTAATCAGTGTTCCACCGGTAGGTATAGGAGTCACATAAATGATTACTGACAGCATTAGAAAGCAATGGTTCGTAATCGATTAAAATATTTAATCGTGCTTGTTGCGATGGATGCATCATCTCTACATCACCGTTTACGCCATGACCTTTTAGACGATTGCGTCATTACGACATCAATACGACACCAGAAACTGGTTCTCTATTGTTTATATTGACGTAAGTATTTTATCTTATGCGCTTAATATGCCTGTAACTGCATTATGTGAAAGCATCACTATCTACAACTTCTAAAATGATTAAGTGACTGAAAGCATACAAATTACTTACAAAATAAATAAAAAAACGACCTCAACAAATGAGCGTATTGCACGATTAATTGTATTGGATGTCACTGATTCAGGAAGTTCGATGGCGTAATGGTTAGTACGGTCTATGATGCGAAAGTTCTGCAATATTCTCAACCGTTGATAGGATGGCTGGCCAAAAGTTTATATTCTTGGAGCTCCTCCGTGCTTTGGAACGCACAATAAACCGTTGGTCCTGGCTGCATCATGCAGTCGTTAACGTGTAGTAAGGCCGTGTAGTTCATGGCCCGTTCTCCCTGTTCGATTGATTGCATCCACTAGAAAGGTCTGTTCCCTAGAAATGGGCACTTCTATAAGTTCCCATTGCTAGGGAACAGCAGTCCAATCTATAGCAATTCAGTCCAGTCTATACTGGAGATGACGATGATCACTGGGTTGATCCCCTCACTTACATAGGCAAATTTTATCCGTTACTTTCTTTATGACGACTTGAACAGACGCCCATTCTTCATTATCAATTCATTCTTTTTTAATTTTTATGTACACTGTTTTTATGTACACTACATACGTAGATCAATGTATTATGAACTATCTGACAATTCATGGGAAGATAACATTCTGGGAAATTTTAGAAATATTATGAAAATATATTTATTATTTTAATAATATCTCCAACTCTAGTCTCGTTGTTCTTCAAATATAGTTCTCTTTATTGTCTGTTCATTGACGTGATCCTTATAATAGCTGTAATACCTTTTATTATCCACACTTATTTTAAATTTAATAGCGACTTCCTCTATGGGTTGGTGTTTCAAAAATCTATACAGATTTAATAAATATATAAAGCACCTCGTATAGTGGAGAAGCTATACGAGACAACGTAGGTACCATAACACCCAGACCCGAGACAATATAAAAAAAACTACATTGACCTGAAAATTAACTTTTCTGGAGTGAGAGAGAGGATCTTGAAACCAGCGCGAACCACTCGGCTATGGAGGAATGATTAACATTTTGCGAATTAGCATATCAGTCGTGACGTGATATGCCTAGGTCCGTGTTTATTTTAAATACACTACAAATTAAGGCGCAATTCGTAAATAGATGCAAATTATATAATCAATGTGTTGAGGATTTTACTACAGTGTAAATACAGCAAAAAAGTTCAAGGTCCAAGGTTGAAGTTTTATCCAAACATCAGCGCAACCCGAGGTCGGTAGTCACTCGTATCTTTGACAGTCATTTCCATTTGACGCGTGTGGATTGTCCAACTCTAAATAACGCAGGGTTCATGTTTATAAACTGTAAGGAAACGCAATTTCTAGTTCTCGAAGAAATAAAAGTACCGAGGTCCAGATAGAGCACATATTTTTTGTTGCTAGGCTACAGAGTATGCGACATAGCCCGACCATGCTTATTTAAGGAATTTGGTAACTTAATTATTTTATTATATACAAACAGGTACAATACCCCTGTACCTATCAAGTACTATAGGAAAGAGTGCCTTTTTTAGAAAAAAAAACATATAAGTAAGAGAGTAATCGAACTCTTGTGATGTGAAACACCCTTTTTTATTCGTCGGGGAAAGTCTCAGCACGAATATTAGAGCAAAGATAGACTTGACTTTGAGAATTTTACATTTCATCTCAAACACAGATGAGTTTCTATGGAAGTTGCTGTTGAAAGGCTATACCACGCGGGCGAAGTCGCGGGCAAAAGTATGTTTGGTGTATTATATGAGATCATATTGGACATTTAAGTATCTGTACTTGTGTATTTTACAACTTCGGAGATCTCCTTTCACTTTTCTCGGTCGTCAGTCAGCTTGAACCACACTATAGTATGACTTTAGTCAACGGACAGAACGTTACGCAATTTAAACACTAAATGCAATATAAATTAAAGTTTAAATCCGAATTGATCATTTCGAATTCTATAGGTTTCGTGTTCAGTGTTGTTAAAATATGCCATCGCGATGTAGTCACGCATTACTTTAGTGTTACATAAAGTTAATTGGTGATAGAGGAAATCCGGTCATATTTTAGTGTCTTATAAATATAATATGTTATTCCTATCGAAAGTTTAAATATTTCTTTAGGTTGTTTTGGTAATTTGTCCGAACATTGATGAAAATACGCTCTACAGTAGCGAAAAGTAATAAGTGCTTGAAAAATTCGTCAGTCCTGTTAAGTCCTGGGTAGTTCAGTGGTTTGAGCAATCGCCTGGATTGCGAAAGGTTATAGGTTCGAGTCCTATCACAGAGTGCCAGGGACATAGTGGATTTTATAAGCATTTTTCATTAATAATAAGTTGTTCTTCGTTATTATGTTTCTAACTTCAATATCTTCTTTAGTTTTGGAGAATATCCCGGGATCATAAGTACTTCTGCTAGTGTCGTATCAAATTATCATTATCATCACCATATAATCATTACCATACCATCATCATTACCATATCATTATCATTACCATACCGCTATCATGGTTGAGATACATTTGGCAGCGCAGCACGATATCGACTTTTTCCGTCGCACTATCCACTTTTGACGCTCTAAACCGCCATTGTGCTAGTGACCACCATATGTCAAAATTTCTTAATTGATGGGTATTTATATGATTTGAAAATACTTTAGAACTATGCATTTGAATTAAATTAGTGAATCTGTGTTATTATTGCTCGATTTGAATGCGGTGCGGTACACCCGCGACGCAATTCAATTACGTTATTTGAATATCGGATCATAAAATCAACAACCAGTTAGTATAATGCATTTTACTATTTTCATTTATTGGTACTGCCGGCTCGGCGAGGGAAATGTCATAACTTCAAATATCATAATATTCTATAATAAAAAATAAAGAATTAATTACATAGTCAGTGTTCTTCTTTTTATTAATCAATACTAAAATTTATTGAAGATATCTTAAATTATATTTAGTATAATACATAACAGACATTGTGTACTTCACAAAAATCCCGCCATAGGCACTCGCGCTTTGGAAGATTCACGACAATTCACTTTCAAAATCAAACAAAATTTTTTTTTCTAATTTATTAACAACTTAATCGAAGGAATTATTACAATTAACACACAAACGAAGTTTTCCAGTTATCTTCTATAATACGTAATGATCCGGAATTTATAGTTGTTAGTATTGCAAATACAACAAAAATAATAATGTTGACATTTCAAAAGACAGCATGCGGAACATGTTATTGACTCCATTATTAATGCTTGCGGTCTATCAATCTAGTTATCCTTGCCAATACGGAAACAGTCAATTTATCGTTCTTTATTAACAAATTATATTTTAATAAAAGATGTTTAAGATATTAGTAGCAGAATTTAAATTATTATTCAGCTATATAATACGATGTAGCTTTATTAAGCAGAGCTTCAGCTTTATGACATGTTTTTTTGTGAATGTCATTACTCCTATTAGAGTCCTCCTATTAGAGAGAACTCACCAGAGTTTCTTGCTCGTTCTTCTTATCAGTCAAAAGTCCTGAACGAGTGGTAGGGAAAAAATGTTGGACGATTTAAAAGTACTTTTGAAAAGTCTATTTGAATAAAGATGTGACTTTTTTGACTTTTGACTACAATGAAAGAAAACTTTATTATTAAACTTCATTGACCAGCAAAAAAAATATGCCTACTTCATGCTTATGGCATTCTCTCCCAAATAGAAAAACCGAGAAACGCGAAGGCGACATAAAAAGAATTAAGTAAAAAAAAACTAACTGACGTACAAATGTGTGTATATAAACAAACATAGAAAATATAAATTACATTTTAAAGTAGATTTTATATAATTGTCCTTTATGCTATGAAAATATAGAATAGCATTGCAGATATTTATTTCGAAATTCGTATTTATATAAATAAAATAAAAATTATTTTTAACATTATATGTGTATTTTATAGACTTTACATATGCGCTTCAGGCATTCCGATGCATTTCTGCCAGTAGCGATTCATCGTGGAATACCGATGAAGATTTACACCAACCAAGCTGTGAGCCTCATCTGGGTACGACTGTGAACAAGGAAATATTCGATTTAATATAAAATCATAATACCGAACAAATACAGTAAAAATACAAAACATACTAAGTGCTGGTCGAACTCACGGTATGCTATTTCCATACGTTATACATTAGTTTTAAGAAACCATACAGCCAGTTGCACAAACGTCCGTTAAGGTTTAACGACGCCTTTAAACTCTAATGAATGTCAAATTTAAACTAATGAAAATTTTATTGGCCGTTTGTGCAACTGGCTGATAGAGTTCTTATTCGACTACTCTTTTTTTTATTGCAATATTCGTCAATTATAAAAAAATCATTAGAAATTATCAGTAATTACATCAATGATAGATTTTATAATAATTACTATTCAATTCAGTTTGCTGTAAGTAAATCTAATTTTGAAAAAATTAAACCATTAATTATTATTATATTTGATCAATTTTGCATATATAATGCAATACTGAAAAATATTATTAATAAAAAAAAATTCACTTTGTTCCTGGCTCTCTGAGATGGGACTCTAACCTATGACTACCTGGGTTTGATCGTACTTGAAAAGTATTTAACTTTGTTTGGTTTTTTTTATTTTTTATCATGGAAATACTGATCCAAAACGTGAAAGTTCTTTCAACTACAGGAAGCTACATCATATGCGAGTGATATTATAAATTACGAGTTCAAAATCACGAAGATATATATCGATAATATAAAAAATAGTCCTTAACGACAAAGCTATAGAACTTACCATTTGATTAAAGGGTATATTCAATTCCGCTAGGGCCTTATAAAGTTTAACAGCGTTCTGATAGTGCACGTTATCGTCAGCATTCCCGTGCATGACGTAGAAGTCATGTCCGCGGAGTTTCTCAGCAAGTAACGTTACATCGCCGGCTTGGTATCCAGCCAGATTATCTTCCTCGGTAGGCCGACCCATGTAGCGTTCAGTGTACATCGTGTCTGAAGACCAAATTAGGAACCTTATTATTGCGGTAGTAATGGTGTTAAAAACTAAGATACAACTGATGTGGCTCACTGATGTTCCTACGCTGAAGGGTAAATTTTGAAACGCGGTAAATGTCAACCAATGAAAATGTTGTATCACGCCATCGGGCGATCCACCAATAACTAAGCGCTTGCCCTCTGCGGAATGTGAGTGAGACGTATTCTACACCTTTTGGCTCTGCGCAAACGAAGATTCACAATGCTGCAATATTAGATGGAACTTACTAGAATGCATATTTTTGCATAATAGAACTTAAAAATAGAATTTTATCCAAGTACTCTTTGATTTTATCACATTTCATCAGCGATCCGTCAACGCGATATTCAGAGTTGTCTCTAATCCTTAGGATCAACAAAAACTTAAACATACATAGCGAAAATCATACAGTTATTCTAGAAACTAACTGGGCGATATATAGCCTGCATGTAAGCGTTTACGTTCATAGACATCTAAAACACCTTTAATTTCCGATATCTATGCTCCCGCGCAAACGTCAATAGAGCCTGATAGGGTACTGCCACAAGTGTAAGATGTCACAAATATATTCTAAGTTCTGACCTTGATAGTATTTTCGCATTCATAAAATCCTGAAAATTCACATAAGAAGATCCTATTCTCAAACTGGCTGAATTTTACAAATAGAACAAAATTTGAAATCGTATGCCGGTGTCAGAAATGAGTTACACTCACTGTAGTAAATCCAGGAAGTGACCGGAGCGCCGGAGACTCCGCATTGGAACATGTGATCGTCGTCATGCACGAGGGTCAGGAGCGTCGCATATCCGCCGTAACTGTGTCCCCAGATAGCGACACGCGACCTATCTATGAACTGATACTTATCCAACACTTGCCTGTGAAAACAAAGAATAAATTAAAACTAATAAATATTATTAGCCCTTTTACGTCCACATTGCGAGGGCTCGGGTCTTCATTATGGATAGTTAAGGAGGATGGGCTATGTCCCTCCACGCTACCCTAATATGGATTGGAAAATATTAACGACTGCAAATACAGCCGCGACAAACGACTTAATGTGCCTTCCGAAGCACGCATTAGCTCGACATAATATATGTTTGGTCACCTATCCCGTGACCGATCATTGCGAGAGTTGCTTAACAAGAAGTTCCCCGGCTTATCCACAAGCCACCGAGATACACAAAAATTTCAATTGATTTTGGGATTTTCACACATGGCTGCACGCCAGGCTACTACAACATTTCATATTTCCTTGATTGCTTTTGAACTCTACCTACATTAAGGTTATAATCAAAATTTACAAATAAAAAACGTCCATATAAACTGTAACTGAAAATAAAAAACTCATCATAATGTTAGGGAAATAGAAAAGCTAAAACATGAATTTGTAAAAAATACAACATTTGCAAGTAAATATAATTAATAATAACAAAGCATTGTAAGGCAGTATTTCTCTTTTACTTTAGTAAAATTTATATGTGCGTCACTTTTTAGCCGAGAGTTTTACGTAGAACTTTTGCAGAATATGTAATGGTTTGCGAGTAATTAATTTACAGTCACAAACACGTAGTACACTATCCTCTGTCCCTATCTATCTCATAAACGGGAGAAGTTTCGCCAAATTCCAATCGATCGTAAATTTTAATGTATTTATAATAAAGTTCAAAACTTGCAACAAATTTCACCTTTTTGTTTTGCTGACGTACTATATAGGTCTAATTATAACCTCCTTTTAAGTATTTATTTAAAAATAAAAGGTTCTTAATCACATTGAAACTTATAAAATATGGAAATGCGTCGATATATTCCAGTTAAGTATTTACCGATTTCGATTAGAAACCTTTTTTGTTCGAGAGCATTGCACTCTCAAGGTTGATTAGTTTTTATTATACCAATACGATAAACAACTTTAAATAGTTACCTACTAAGCACCTTTAATCAATATTAATCAAATTAACTTCAAAAGTTAATAATTAATTTAGGGGTCTTTGTTTTTTATTGTAGCCGCTTCTAAAATCATACCCCAAACAATACACATCAATAGGATCTTAGATCGGTTTATACTATAAAATAGTTATAAAGAAACGTTTGTTTATACCAGTATAGCAATTAAGAATACTTAGATTTTACAGTGATTTAACGTCTTTCTAATGAATACTAAATGATTTTTTGATAAATATTTATACATTTTAGTATCTTGTTCAATTGGACATCTCTATATGAACTAAACTGTAAAAAAAAGGAACTCTCGCAGAATTTATTTTCAGTACAAGACTTCTGAGCAGTATTTCGACATTCCAAATGCTTTTGAGTTTAAGTTTGATAGTATATTTACAAAGCATAATATCTAATTTTTCGTTTTCCACATATTTAATAAGATGTGGAGTTACTTCAGTATGGATACTAGAAGTTTCCCAGTGGTTGAAACCCGACGATTCAACAATATCTGTATTTTACAACCACGATTAAAATAACTCCTCTAGCTTATGGTAAGACCTCTAATGGCAATCTCTGTTCCATCAATTCATGGATGATTTAATGGGTATAGTTTGATCTTTAATTTACTGAAACCAACGAAGCATGTTGTATTTTGTTTTCTATTTAAAATGCGAAACGTTATAAGTTCTCATTTCACGTCATGTCTACGTCATCAATCGAAAAGATTAGATTAGAAACTCGTTTGTAAGGTAAGTGCATGACAAATAGCTGCAGTATACCGTGAAGATCAATAATAATAAGCCCCACACGGTTTCACGGTTGATAATTATGAGAAACATTTAATAATTAAAGAGTACACAATATATACGGCTAAATAGGAGACTGCCTTACAATACTTTATTATTAGTCATTATATTTACTTGTAAATGTTGTATTCGAAGTGTATATTAAATCATAGGCTACTTTTATAGTATATATAAAATTTGTTTTGAGTAAATACTGTTTTATTTAATCTATAAAAAAAGGATACTCGTCTATTATAGAGGATAATAGCTTAACGTTAAAAATTATTCGGGTTTTTTTTTATTTATAATGAGCTCACTCTTGACCTCAATCTAGCCCAAGGACATGAATGAGGTCGATTTCTTTTTTTTGACGGGAGGAAATGGGTTACGCCTTCTCGCTTCCCTCAGCGCTAGGTCCACGAGTTATGTGGGACTCTTCCCTGCGGACCCACCCCCAAAATAGGGGCTAGTCAAAAACCGGGGGCATACCCACTAAAATCCGCCGATGTCTCTCTCAACGTGAGCATTGCGCGGTGACCCTCTCCCGCTGGAGCTACCCAGGACTTAACAGGACTGAGGAATTTTTCAAGCACTTGTTACTTTTTTGATACTACAGAGCGTATTTTCATCAATGTTTAGGCAATCCACCCGAACAGCTAAATATTTTTACAAATATTTAAACTTTCGATAAAGATGAAAATTTCTTCTAATTATTATATTTGATAAACTTTGCATTGACAATTTTATACTGAAAAATATTCTTAATGAAATTATTCACTCTTGCCTTAAATAGTTTTGGGTATATGCACTCGCCTTACGAGGAAGACCAAAGATAATAATTAAATACGATGTAATTCGGAATTCATTGAGTAACTTACGCAAGAGCAAAAATGACCAAAATTTTATTATCTCGATCTGCTCCGTGCTTCGGAAGGTCCGTCGGTCCCGGCGGCATCCGGAGTCGTTAATACCCATCAATCCTCACTGGGGCAGCGTAGTGGGTCATGGCCCGTTCTTCCTTTATTCTAGTCATATGGAAGGCCGGAATCCAAACAAAGACATGAATAGGCTGGTGATGACTCTTAAAACGTCTACTTGACAGTTTATTTATTTTTCTGTTTTATTTATTTAGGAAATCAAACAGTGGTTTACAATCTATATAAAATCAAAACTCATAGACCTGGTAGTTTCATTACTTAATAGTAATTTAGTAATGGAATTTATTTTATTACTATTGACACTGGTAATGAAACAAATAGCTTTTTTACCATTTATTTCAAAGATAGATTTAGTGATAGTTATAACAATATATTAAGAATTATGTTGGAAATGGCAACATATGTTGAAAAATTATATGTAAACATTGACGATGCACTATTTTTTGTTTTAAAATAAATTGTAAATATAGATTACATTAACCGAAACTTTTAGGCGGCCATGACGAAGAATCGTGTGACGCCACATTACAATAAACTGAACGTCTTCATTAAGAGTGCTAGCAGTAATCATATTTATTGAAATGTGACGTCACCACTCAAAATGTCCACACGACTGAAAGAATTTAAATTAATGAATAAAATTAAGTATTTTTATCTTTTATTTAATAACCCTTTTTGGATAAAACTAAATCTGATAATGGATTAATATCATCATATTTTTAAAAAATACATTTTTTAAAATAGTCAAGTAACCAATTATATAATTACCTTAGTATAACGAAATGGTCCTCTACTTCTACGGTGCCAAGTTTGTTGTTGAGCGAGTATAAAATATCTTGACCGTTGAGCCCAGCACCCCGTCCGTCAGCAAGCAAGTAAACTGTGTCATGGTTAGTCGTGAGCACCGTGTGGTAACCTTACAAACAAACGAAAAGTTTCTACAGTATTTACTTTAACTATATTATACTAACAAACCTTAAAATTTTACGGGATAACTTTATCATTAGATTCTTTTTCTTATTATTTTTTCTTATTTTATCCAAATAGATAGATAAGTAATTATATAAGGTTTGTAGTTTTAAGATCGCATCCGCATTTACAGATGTGAGCCCTCATTAAACCGCATTTACAGATATGAGCCCTCGTAAAACCAAAACATCACATTTTTATCATAAAAATATACTAGTTACTATACTTATTTAGTAATTTCTTGATAACACTAATCAACTTAACTTGACTTAAAAAAACGAATAAATAAAATACTTACCAACTGTAAACGTATCGAAAACAGTGTTTGTATTCGGTCCGGAATACACGTAGTACACTAATGGGTATTTAGTGTTGGTATCGTTCACGTCCAGCCCCGGCGGCAGAAGTAACCGAACCGAGGCTGGGTGGCCGCTCTCTAGGGGCACCGTTGTTATTATACTCTGTGGTCTGGTCTTGTTTTGTAGTCGCTCACGAACGTGGATGTTGTTCTCCCACGTGTACAGCACCTCGAGCTCCTATGAATGATGAACGATACTTTATAAAGTAATACTGTACTATAATTTGTTATAAGTAGCATCGGCAAAATTCGTCCGCGTAAAAGATTAAGCTAAAACCAACACCTCTAATATGTTAACCCGCTAGTGTTAGTTCAACTCGAAACTCTCGTAGCATATTATCATGCTGTAGGCATACATGGCGCGCATGTCTAAACCAATAGCAAACGAAATTTGGAATTTTAATGCTCGCACTAAAGCGCGAAACGTTTAAACGGATTACTTTTTATTAAGGATATGTTTTAAAATCAGGTGGAGAAATTCGACAGAAACATACTTGCTGTCGACTGTACATTAGTGTATCTTAGCAATATGATTCCTCAGTACACTTTATGCCGTAATGAGGTGTGCTGTGCCAGATACTTAAATACAGATGCTGGGTATGATAACTTCAAAAGTAGCCGAGCATCATATAACCGAAGTACAGCTGTAAAGTTAGCGGGCGAAGAGCTGACACTGACTAAGAAAAAGGTTCAGCAATTGAGGGGTTGGATCAAGATGCGGGTGCTTACCAACGGGTCCACCAAGAAGGTGGCAGTAGGCTCGTTAGGTGACAAGCAGGTGATAGACATATAGCGGCCGCCATGGCTGAGGGTGGCGGTGGCCCACGTACAGGGTCCGCCATCAGGCATAGTGATGATGCAGCTGATGCAGGCGGCCGTTGGTCCAGCGCGATGCACCTGGCTTAGCCACGGGCTGCCCGTTACTGTGCGAGTGAAGTAGCTAGGAATAGACATCCCATAGTCATTAGTTATAAGCCGGCATAGAAGCTCGGTGGCGTAGTGAATAAGCGACCGCGGTCCGCGATTGTTGTCTTTAAGCAACTTTCGCAATATCAGTCACGGGATGGGTGACCAAAAAAATATTATCTCGAGGACTCCGGGCTTCGGACAGCACATTAAGTCGTTGGTCCCGGCTGCATTTGCAGTCGTTAATACCCTCCAATCCGAACTGGGCCAGCGTGGAAGGTCATGGCCCATCCTCCTTAACCATCCATGGGGAAGGCCTGAGCAGCTGCAGTGGGGACGTAAAAGGGTTGATGATGATTATTATAAGCCGACTACAAATTATATCGAATAGGTACACCAAAATCTCATGGCACAAAATAGAAAGAGTAAATATCGATTTTCGCATGTAATATAAAATGTCAACTGTTGACAACTATCAAGTCAAAGTGTAAATTGTTGTGAAAATATGAATTTATTCTGTGAAAATGCCCAAAAGCCATTGATATCTCAGGCGAGAAATATTGTTTTTAATGTTAATAGCAAAATTTATGAAAAGAAGCCGAAGATCAACGAAATTATTTGATTTCAAAGTGTGTTTATGAATTGATCGGTAACTAGCAATGACAAGTCTTGATACTTATTTTTTTTCTAAAGAATTAATTAGTAAACTCTTTCTTTGTGAAAACATTTTTACACGCCAGGGGAAAATAGGATCGGTGAAAATTAGAAAATAAATATAAGCGAATTTTATTAAGATGTGTAAGTTAAAATTATTTCACACTAGTAATTTTCTTTGGATGGGATAGAAGCCTAATATATCACTACAGATACATACGGGTATCCTCATCAGTCAGTTCGCTGTCGCTTTGACTTTGGCCTTTGATCAGATTCGCACATACGCTAATATACTTCCGGATAAGCATTGCTTTAGTAGTGTGTACAGACTGGAGCAACGAATGTCAGTCTTTATTTTTATAAGTATAAGGACTAACGAATCTTATTCGGTGACATTCGTTAGCCGTTCATTGGTCCAATCTATACGCGCTATTAAACCATAGGAATCTGTTCATTTTAATTTCAAATACATTATTTGAAGAGGTACTTATTTTTATTAATATGTAGTTAATTTTACTCTCTGTAATAACTTAACACACCATATTTACATAAAACTGATCAAAAATGGTTCACTACTTATAATCAAATACTCACTAAGCAACATTTTCCTCGTCCATGCCGATGTAATTATTAACAGTGAATTCTCCAGGAGTAACTGAGGTCGAATAGAATTCCCCACCGACTCTAACAGTTTGAACTAGATGTTGCCACACATAACCGGACGCCTGTGGTAGAGACCAACGCAGCTGCATATGGAAAGAACCGTCGCTACTGAAAATCGGCAAGTCTGTTGGCACCCATCCATTGGGCTGTGAGCGGATTTCTTCCTAAAACGAAAGTATCAAAAAATTTAAACGGTTTAATTATAAGAAAAAACCGAATCCTTTCTAAATCTAGAATGTATAATGAACATAGAATGTTGTTTATAAATATATCTAATTAGCCATCTAATGGTAGCAACCATATTGCATTTATAATTTTTTTTTTTTATCAGAAGTAATTGCGTAAGAAAAGATTAAACGTTAAATCACATAATTTGATTTACCAAGTCAAGCTCAATATTAAATGAATTATTATCACACCATAATCATAACTAATAATGTAACAAAAAAAATACTGGTTATTTCCTCTTACCTTGCTATGCCATCGTTTAGATATAATTGGCGTTGATTTTTAAATTATTTTATAGTTGCGATACTTATCTGGATTTCTATAATGTCTAATACCATCAGCGTCATCAAATGAAACTTAATGAGTATGACGGTTGATAATCGCCGTTACACTTTAGCATTACTTTAAAAAAATTAAACGTGACAATTTAAAAATTCCCTCATACATTAATAGTAACGTCCTAAATAAATTTAAATATAAAAGTAACTATGTTATAAACTAGCCAATTTTCTCTCAACTCACCTCACAATTATTAGTGAGCATATGACAGATCCTTAAAACAGTATAGTTCTGCCTTCTGTTAAGCCAATGCGCGGCCACTTCGTGCGTAGTCGGCCATATAACTCCACCTAGAATATGGTCTTCGGTCACGTGTTCGAGTGGAGCTTCCAGAGTTTCCTGCACGATATTCTCACTGGTTGTTAGGGCCAGATTGACTACACGGAACTTGACTGTAGGATTTGGATGGCCGACCTGAAATAAACCTTTAAGCTTTGACATAACCATATATGTTACGGCTAAAGAGGTGTGAGCATAAACTTAAGATTAGCCGGCTAAACTTAGGTATATCTTCGAGAAGCAGCTAAAGTTCGATTTCATGTTAGTTTGCGTCGTGATATTCCATTTTTAGCCGGTTAATGTGCACATTAACCGAAACAATACAGCTAAAAATGTATTCGATGGACGTGGTCCAGCGAAGGGCTTGAGGGGGCCTTGTTTTAAGTAATTAACACTGAATAAGTTCTATTTTGTAAATTTAAATACCTACAGAAGTATCTATAATTAACAAATGGTTCCTTATTATTTTATTTTAATTATTATGTAGATATTGTTTTATGTAATTAATATTTTGTAATTGTAATTTTGAATACTTACATATGTACATAAAAGTATGTGTAATCAGAGTGATTACTTTTTAATAAAAAAATTCGTGTCAAAATAATAAACATTATTACATTGTTTCCTTTTCCATTTCCTTCTGCATTTTAGCCAAGGTCCTGCAGTTACACTTAAGTTTAGCCGGCTAAAGATAAAAGAAACTAACATTGACACATCCTCGAGGATAAGCCTAAGTTTAGCCGGCTAATCTTAAGTTTATGTTCACACCTACCTTCAGCCGTAACATATACAATAAATCTGTAAAACTAGATTTGAGTACATTTTTATCATAATAGATAAAAATTATAATCATCTACGGTAGGCGTAGAAACGATGAATGTGGTTTTACTGATGAAGACAAATGTTGTGAAGATTACATGGAAATAGTTTTTTATGTAATATATAAGCAGCTTCGCCCACGTGACACAAAGGAAATAGATAAGACTTTTACGGATAAAAAGTACCTTATGTCGATCTCGAAATTCAAAACTATCTCTATATCCGTTGCGACACAAAAGTATAAACAAACACACGTTTCCATTTATAATATTACTATAGAATGTCCCAGATTACCTTAGGATACTTGAGGTCTACAAGTTCTGGGTAAAGGTCGTCAGGGTCAGTCATGTCTTCATAATAATAGTATGAGTATGCGTCCACTTCAGTATCATCAAAGCTGGCATAAGCTAAATAACTACCATCGGGAGAGAACCACGTAGCTTGACCCGTGTACATAACGTCCTCTGAAAAATAACTCAATTTTCAAATAAAATAAATATTAAAAATTATCAGATAAATTGCATCTATATAATTTGTAGTCGGCTTATCATCATCATCATCAGCCCTTTTACGTCCCCACTGCAGGAGCTCAGGCCTTCCCCATGGATGGTTAAGGAAGATGGGCCATGACCCTCCACGCTGGTATTAACGACTGCAAATGCAGCGGGGACCAACGGCTTAACGTGCCTTCCGAAGCACGGAGTAGCTCGAGATAATATTTTTTTGGTCACCCATCCCGTAACCGACCCTTGCGAAAGTTGCTTAACGACAACGATCGCGGGCCGCGGCGCTTATTCACTACGCCACCGAGCTACTATGCCGGCTTATAACTAATGACTATGGGATGTCGGACTCTAAAGTCCGTGTAAATAATTGTATTTATAAAGTTTGAGAACCGCAGCCATAATACTACCGTTTTTACATTGGCACGGAACTGGAACAATTGCTTACCAAAACTGTTTAGAAGTGCAATTTATAATAAAACAGTTATTTATCTATGAAATAAAATATTCAATGCAATAGTATAACAGTACACTAATTATGAGTAGAGAAACACCAAAACAAACCTTCGTACACCCAGTCTGTGTGCCCGTTATATATCACACCGACGACGCCATCGTCAGTGATAGCTATTGCTTCAGTACTGTCTTCAGGTAAATAGTACAAGTTGTTATCCAAAACATACGCTAGGGCGTGGTCACCGCCGAATATGCACAATTGAAGCCTCGCATGGTTAGCAACGTGAAACCAATTCCTGAAAACCAAAGAGCACGCTGAGAACGAAACAAAAACGTCATGGTCGCGGATTTCGTATTAAAGGACCCGCATCCTCAGATGGAAATGCAAATACGGACCTCGAGATTTTTTAAAGTTTAAATAGGTATAAGTTATTCTAAAAATAATATTTTTTGGGAATCACTACATTTGGTATGATCCGCATCCACGTCCGTATCTACAACATCCCTAGTCATAAGACCCAGTGACGTAGCTTTATTTAAAAACATAACTATTTTAAATAATCGCAAGTCGCAACTTACTGTGTTGAGATTTCATACATTGTGAACTTAGCCGTGGTGGAGTATCTATATACCTGAAAAAAAGTATAGTTTCATTTATTCATTACACAAATCGCATTTCACAAGTATTTATTAGATGTTACATTAGATTTACAGTTTGTGTGACACTGTAAAGGTGTTGTAGTAATTGTATTTAGCATTATTAGCATGAATAACACTAAATAACCAATAACAATATTATTAGTCTAGTGTACATAATGAGTCCTAATTTATTATTAGGAGGTCACTTTATCACATGTTTATTTGATAATACTTTAGTTTGGTCGGGCTCTTATCCTCAAAGAATTCTGAGACACTATAATAGCTTTTATTTATAAGAAATTATTTCAACTGATTTTCAAAAGCTTTCGTTTTTTCGAGCTCTTTAATGTATTTGGTATTTGATTGTAAATTTTAATTAACTTTTAGTTTCAATCAATTCATCATAATTGTTGTGGAGGATATAAGTTCAATGCCTTCATATAAATACAGGGTCCCTATATTTATTTATTTATTTAAGGTTTATCAACGCTTGTGTTCAATATTACATACATTCTAGTTACAATAAATTTTATGTTAAATAACTAATTGTCACAAACACTTATAGGAAAACACAACATGCACTAGAACATAGAGTAAGTAAGAAACTACACTTTTACATTAGATTATGAGAAAAGAAGTTACTTTATTATTTATACCAATTAATTATTTGAAAAAGAAAAACAAAATCAGACACTATTATACGTATGTTAAAAAAAATTAACTCCACAGTACTAAAAAATTCCTACTGATCTTTGAAAGTGAATCGTGGTAAATATCTATTGGGTTACTATATTTATTTACCAATTTACATATCCTACATATTGGTAATTAGAACCGAGAACAGTTCTACGCAGTGGAACGCTTAGTGGAGTGACTCTGTTGCGAGGATATCTGAAGGGTACTCTCAGTTTAATTTTCTCAAGCAGTTGAGGGCAATCTATTTCATGAGATAGTATTTTGGAAATAAAAAAAATATCAATTAGATCTCTACGGTTTTCCAAGGAAGTTACATTGAAATGTGATAGGCGGCTCTGGTACGAGGGCAGTTTCTTTTTATACCAGAACAGTGTAAGAGATGCCATAAAAATCTTTTTTGAATTCTTTCTAAACGCAAAGAATGTATTGCATATTGTGGTCTCCAGATAACATTCCCATACTCATACCATATAAATACAGGGTCCCTATATAATTGAAAAGGTATATGAAGGGTGTTAATAATGACAAAAAGAATATAGTTTATTTACAAATTATTTCAAGGACACAAGATGTGATACTGAAGCACCAATATAACTGAAAACCGTCGGCAAAAGTTTATCATTAAAAACAGATAAGGATAAAATGAAACTTACTTTTTACAACTGTGTACTTAGTATTATTTTTATCTCAGATCATCATATAATGATATACTTTATTACCTCAATTCTAATTTCTTAATTAAATGAAATAATATCTTTCTAATTTTATGGAAATCAACAAATACATGGTTCATATTCCAAGTTTCTAAAGCCCTTGTATTACGAAAGGTTAAACTACGAAGTTACCACAACACCCAGACCTGAGACGATGTAGAAAAATCTTTTATATTTGATTAAAGAAGACAACAACTTGAAATCTGTGTGTTGACTACTCGATCACGCAGGTAGTCCATAAGATTTAAGTACGCACGGCTGGTCGTCACGCTACACACCACCACCGTAAACAGACCTAGGGAAGTTCTATATGAAGCGTGGTCTGTACAAAGTCCAAAATGTATAGTCGGACGTGCTACCATGTGTACAAAAATACTATAACTTAAGACTTACTTTCTGCTCTTCACTTGAAGCTAAGATGAAACGACCATCTGGTGACAGTACAGGATTGGAAGTATTGAGGAATTCCTGTAAGATATTAGGAAAAAATTTAAACGTAATTTGCATCTATATTTTTAAATATCTTTTATCAGAAAAACAGTTCAAGCAATCTATCTATGCTTATAATCGTGAGCAAGTAGCCACTTTCAAAAATTACTAATCTATATTCTGACAAATACCAAATAAGTCTATATATGTATTTTTTATATTAATCAGCATCACATAAATTGCTCAGATTCTAAGATGATTAGCTAATACCCTGGAATACTGGAGTAAGTATCCAAAAAGGTAGCACAAAACGCAGACTCGAGACAATATAGAAGACTGTATTTTATAAAGGTTTTATAATGTTCTTGATTTAACTATTGGGTTGAGAATGGTTTTATAATAGTTTTTATACGTAAATATAACGCGGGTTTGAGCGCAGATTAAATAACATTTAAATCGTGTAAAGCTCGTTTTGCAGTCGCGTGAATTTATTTTTTTTCGATGATATATGATGGTAATCTTTGTTAATATTTAATAGACCTTCATAATATTTGTGTTTCAGTGTTGTTTATTACAATAAAATATATCAATTTCCATAAATATTTTCTGACATATTGCCATTGAGGGACTTCATAATGACATATACATAACTAATTGGTCGTATACATCTTTTTATATAATTTATAGCCTCCATCTTGACAGTAGTAATTAAGAGTTCCATTGGAAAATAGAAATGTGGGTATCGTTACCGCATTTACTTGTAGTTATTTAAATTGTTTGAAATATTTTTATTTTTAATTATTTATCGAATTTATGTACAAAGACTTGCCTAGAGTGACGTACTCTGTTACAAGGTCAATAAGTGATTTAATTTGATTTAATTTAACAATAATGATTGATAATTTGTTGTATACTTTTCTTCTAAAACCACCACTTCGTTTAATTCTTTGGAATCCATATAATATGCAAGATTTATAAAGTTTGAAGTCCGTTCTATTTTTTAGGAAAAGAAAAGATTGATGATATTTAGTGACATTCAATTATGTTGAACATAGAAATTCTGAATGAATGCAAATTACGTTATCTTTTGTTTTATCACTGATAAAAACATTTTTAGAAGGCATGTTTTTATGATATTTGCCGAATGGTATTTTTTGTTATAAAACATAACTACCAATGTGATTTCGATAAATTAAACATAAGAAAGCGTATATATGGTCGAATTAAGAAATATCTCTTCTCTCTATCTATCTCTTTTTTTGAAGTCGGTTAAAAAATGACGTCTGTGTTATATAAAAGGAACTTAATATCGTTTAATTAATCAATTGGGTTATATTAGCGCAACGTTTCCAACCAAATGTTACATAAAATAAAGTATACAACCTATTATGACGACTTTATAGTAAACGTCAACTATAAAATCATTACATAACAACTTAGTTGTTTAAGTGTTGAATAAAAAGTTCTAAATCCACAAAACATTGCAATCTATTAATATTATTAACATTTATATGACTTCAATTATTAGAACTAATGCGTCGAATTGAATTCTACTTTGCGACTGTTTATTTGTTGCAAAATTATTATAAACTCCTTAGGATGCATAGTGATGCATTGATAGACGGCCTGGCTAATCAGGAGAGGGGAGTTTACGTTATTGAGAACTGGCTAATCAGGAGAGGGGAGTTTGCGTTAGCGAGTTCGACAAAGTTATCGTCTCCCGTTCTCTCTCCACGGATTATCTCTATTGTTTGTTTCACTATCAGGTAGAAGATGAGTGAGACGAGAAGGGGAATATGGTTTAACTTTCCAGCGCTACTAACAAAATGTGCATTGTTATAGGTACCGCTAAAACATTGTTACCACAACTAAAAAAAATATGGAATGTGTAAATCTCTTATGTTCTTAATAATAAATAACATAAAAAGAATGCATTTTTTAGTATTGATGAATTAATAAAATCATTGCTATATGACATTAGATCATTACTCAGAAAATTTTAGATATTTTTAATTGTCCTTGTAAGTTTTGTTTGAACTATATAAATCAAAAAATCCCCAGCTTACACCGAAGTTCGAAAGGCCTCCGGAAATATTAGGAAAATACAAAACGATATATTAGAAATTAAAAAAATATAATTTGTACATACCATAAGTTCCCCGGAAACGAGTACAGTGCTGTTCAATAGTTCAACATTGAAAGCGTAGATTCCAGGCTCTCCCGCTATTGTGTATGTGAACTCGTGGTCTACAAAAATAATAATAAAAAACAAGTCAATACAATCTAACACATAATCAACGCTTTTAGGAGCGCAAAGAGCAAAGAGGACAACGGAGCGTCATTGGATTAGAAAGAAATAGAACTTTTGCTTCGACTTAAACACGTTTCACAGATTGTAGTGTTTATAGCAGCCTCTTTTAGAGTTTTAGGGTATTAGTATTTAATAATGGTATATAAAAACTCTGAAAGCTACATTTGACTATTCAGTGGGGTCACTTACACAACCTTCCACAGGAATTACAGTATTATAGAAAAAACATATAACTTAAGACAGTAATATAGAATTTATCGGAGTCATTGTATTACTTAGATATTCTTGTAGTTTTATTGCCCGTTTTCACTAAACTTAGGAGTCGCCCAAATCTGTCGCGTAAATATTTAGGAATTGCATTTGACGCAATAAAATCTCAGTTATAAACAGTCTTTCATTATTCTATAAAATTACTTCAAATTGTAATAAAATATCAGCTGTTTTATTTCCGTTTTTAACCTAGTTCAGTTCAATATACCTGTTTTATTTGAACAGTTTGATAACAAGATACAATTAATATAACCCAGATTTCAAAAATAAGCTTCTGGTAGGCAATATTTTATACTATTATTGGCCTTCTTAGTACGTGACCTATTTTGGCCTAAAGGTAAATCCGCCACTAGAATATTGATACCTACTTATAATCTCTTCTCGGGCAGGTCAAAAAACTAACAATGACCATGTACTTACAATTATAGGTAGATTTATATATACAAGGACACGAATAAAAACTGCGAAGATTCGCCTCGTACCTAATAAAATAATATCAATATAACAACCAAAATTGTATTGAACTTAGCCTAGATAATATTACTTCCGATTACCTGAAATCCAACTGCCGTTGAAGTTCCGCGTAGCATACTGGCCACTTACGAACTCTTCTATAGTAACTGGTTCAAGAGTTTCTTCGTCCTGCGCAACAGCTAAAGCCACCAGCATCACCCAAACGTACCATGATCCCCTTAACTTACCACAAAAAATATGTGATTAATAGATATGCCAAAATTCCTATCATATTATCTTCATCATCACCAACCTATTAATTTCCCCACTGCTAGGGCTCAGGCCTTCCCTATGGATGGAAACTAGTCAAATCGAATAGGTAAAATGAGCTATAACCCACCACGCTATCCCAGTACGGATTGGTAGGTATAAATGGCTGCAGATGCAGCCAGAACCAACGGCTTAACGTGCCTTCTAAAGAGGAGACGGAAGAGGTAGAGATAACAAATTTTTGATCACCCATCCTATGGCCGGCCATTGGGAAGCTGACAACCGTATCGCAGAGCAAGCGCGCTAAACAGTGCGTCATCGAGCCTATTATTCCTCATCATATTATACTACCTATAAATAAATTTTGAGTTTACAGATACAGGTCAAGGACCAAATCAAATAAGTCATCAAAACGTCATTTTACACAGTACATCTAATTTTACAGGTGATCATAAAGCTTAGTGAGTGAAAATGGGGTTCAAAGTTAAAGGTGCTGATATTTTTGCTAACCCATGATCTAATATCAAAATAGATATCATGTTGGCGACAAAACAATAATGAGTCTATAGATTTATAGAAATAATTTTATGAATGTTAAGAATACTCACTGCCTGTTTTAAAACAGTCTATATATTCGTTTTTTCAGTGCTTAAAATAAATAACATATAAAATTACTTTATACTTACCATTTTCTACTTTGTAAATTGTATCAGAAAATGAAGAAAATCAGCGGTTGGCGATTGATCCGCCAACACGACTGCTTACATACAATTTATCTAATAAAACTAATACTTGTTATCTAAAGATAAGTCAAAATTTATATGGCGTCTGATAATGATAATTATTTCAATTCTGATCACGACAATAGGTCGGCTACGATAATCGCGTTTTTATCATTTAAATAAATTCTTCTGATAGATATCTACTATGGTACTACAAGTACTTATCTTTACCAACTTAAATTAGCGAAAGGAGTTAAATACTAATTTATAAATATCATACTGCAGTCTCCATGTATATTCATTATGTCAATTGCAGACACCAAAATTTTCCAGTTTAATACTTAAACACTACCTTCATTTAACATTTTTCATTAAGGACCGTCCATTAATCACGTGATGTCATATTCAGCATTTTTAATCCTCCCCTCCCCCTTTGTGATACATGGTGAGGTTAAAAACTAACCAACCCCTACCTACAAAAGATCGTAATTGTTGACGCCGCTTTTCATTTAGTAAGCGCGCGTTTGAGGAAAAAATAAACACACGTGATTTTGATATTGATACCCCCATGTAATATTTTGTGATTTTTTTACAACCCCTAACCAGTTAAACTTCTATAAAATGATGGGGATCTGTGAAATAATAAAGCACCAAAATAGAATAGGAAAATGTTTATTAACATCAATGGAATATCATTATGTTGACAAAAACAATTCTCAAGGGATTCAACCACATTTTTACTCTAATACATCAAAAATTATGTCACGCTAAGTGTCTATTGTAGTTGATGTAAATGTAACTCCATACACCAATACCAAATCCAATTCTAAATTCCATATCTACAGTTATAGTCTTCTCATATAGGCTCATCCATCCTTTCAAGGAATTCATCAATATAGACATCCTTCTTCAAAATTTCCATTGGTATTCCTTTTGATCATATTGCGGGTATAAATTGTTCAAATCTTCAGTCAAAATCTGTTAAATTGTCACAGTAGAAAGTCTGGGATTATATTTGCCAGTAAATAGACGAGAGATGAATCTGTACCTCTCGATGAACATGTAATAAAATTTTGTAAACGAGTTGCACGGCCATGAAGACATTTGTGCACTCCCGTGTCCGAACACCCAGCTTCAATGCTGCGAATCAGTTCAGCGGCGTTCAGATACATCCCATGCGGAGTCCCGACTACGTCTCTCCTCGCTTGACGATCAAGCATCTGCGTAACTCCGATGACGATTTAAATCATAGGATTTCCTCCAAGCGTGCCTTTCTATAAAATTTTGTGTAAAATAAATCATTTATTCAACTTCTGTGAATCCTTCCATAATCTTCAATGTGTTTGCCTTAAACCTAAACTACAATGATGCTATAACAATCATAATACAAATAATAAGCTCTCTTAGTGAGCGAAAAAGACATTATTCCACACAAAGACAATAGTGAAACCTGAAAAGAACCTGTAGAATGTAAAATTTAATGTGAATGTAAGTTTTGTAAATGTGTTAATAATTATGTGTGTGAATGAAGTTTTGTTTGTTATGTGTAAATGTATGTTGTGTAAATGAATGATGTGGGACGGACCATGCTAGTGGCGGCGGTGAGTGCGACGCAACTCCTGTAAGCGGCGTTCATGTTCAGCCATGTGTTGGCGACGCTGCTCTTCCTTTACTGCGATCTGGTACAATCAAATATTAATTATGAATTAAAAAAAGTACTAATATGTAAAAAAAAATTGCCAGAGTAGTCTATACTAATATTATAAAGAGGAAAGACTTGATTGTTTGTTTGCAACGAACATGCTCGGAAACTACAGAACTTATTTAAAGAATTTATTTTTAAACTACTTTGTATGAGGTGGACAGAGGCTATATTTTATCCCGAAAACTGCAAATAAAAGGATGAAAATGGGAGTGGAAATTTGTGAAATGGGTCATTATAATTATATCTGTGTCATTTTAGGAATCAATATCCAAATTGCTGTGTACACAAGAGTAAATAATCTTATTAACAGGGTTTGTAATTATCAAGATAATGTGGAAGTATTTTAAGATAAAAAAAGAAAGCACTAAAAAGCACCTCACTAGATGGCGACTCTATCAAAAGTTGATTTTTGCAGAAAACAAATGGACCAAAAATAGTCATTTCCGTTCCTTTTAACTAATACATATATTCAAAAACTGAAATTTACAAAGTTCGAAACTTAGATATCAATGAAAATACGAAAATGTAGAATAATATGAGTTGTTTATTGAGATTTAATTTTTTACTAAGAAATTTAATTTACTATTATACATGAAAGAAAACCGGAAGTGTTGTCGTGGAGAAATTAAGAAAGTACCGCAGCGACATCTAATTTGATTTCAGGAACTAATTATTTTTTTGAATACTTCCTTATTATCCGATAAATATCTGAAAATTATCTGTATTACTGGCAACATTTTTTTAAATACATTAATGTATAAAAAATATTTTTGTTTGCTAAATAACAAAAATTATACAAACAAAACAAATTGTGAAATCACATTTAACAAAAAGTGAAATGAATATATAAATATTTTTTTTTTTTATTAAAAAGTGGGTGCATAATTTAATTATAGGTCCATCCTAGACAATTTTCTCTATAGAAAAATCATGTTTTATAGTTGTTTAAAGACCTTTTAATAAAACATCCTGAAATACCAAGTGTTTGTGTTTTATATTTATCAAAATAATTACACTCTGAATCCTGTTAACTAATTTTTATCCCGTTAAACAGTACCCTAGGGATCACGCTAATTGTGTATAAACCAACAGTAACAATGCGTTTGCATGTTTTTATTTCTAACTAGCTGTTTTCTCGCGACTCACCCGCGTAAATTATACAGACTTTATCATCTGTATGTGATATAGCTGGCCATAGGTGAAAATTTTCATGACCATGTCGGTATTTCGTTAGATTACCCCATACACATAAACAAAACAAAGTGAAAACTTTAACTGTTCATAATATTACTAAAAACATACTTTGGCATTATAGTTTTACCTTAACCTTACTAGATGTGAATGTGAGCCATTAAAAATAATTAAGCTTAAGCTGTTATGCATAAATACAATTAGACCTAACAAAATTATGCCATGTTATAATATGTCTTAACAATGTATGCAAATGGTAAAAGAACCTTCTTAATCCTACTCTACAATCGAATAGCTAAAATCAAAATGAGCACATCTTATCCTTTTAGGGTTCCATACTACTATATGGCCAGCCACTATATGTCAGCCTTATATGTGTTCCCACCCTTATAAAGCTATGCATTTTGATGATTATGCTTGAACTTTTGACACACATTTATACTACAAGACAAGAACAGTTAAATTATATCAGTGAAAGAAAGAAAAAATATTTACTGTTTCAGCTGAGAGGGGCAACCAATATATGCACGGAGTGGTCTTAGTCTTTCTGAATAGATCATCCAACAGCTTTGCAGGTGCTTCTTCTTCCTTTTTTTTAAATTTTCTTGCTGCAATATAAAATATTATTTAGTTTACAGACTTTACAATGAAAATAAAATATTGGATAAATGAAGTCATTCATTTCTCCTTTGACTAAAATGGCTTGAAAAAACAGCTCTTCCTCTGATACCTAGTAATTTTTATTCTAAATCAACATAAAAATAACAATAAATTATTTCGGTACTGTGACCTAAAAGTATATATCCCCAGAGAACTATAAAGTTGACTAGAATAAATCTTAAGTAGACTGATGAATAAATTCAGAAGAATTTAATTAAAATTTATTTCAGTTTTAATGGACCTCATTAGGTGACAGTACCTAAGCTATGTAGTTACCTGGTTCAGGACTTCTTTCAATACTTCGGTGTCTTCTTTTATCCATCGGTCTATCATCAGGTCGGCGTAATTTTTCCTTGCCATCTTTATCTTTGTCATTCTTTCCCATGTCCCACTCTCTCATTGCAGCTTTCCTCTCAAATGATTTATCCTATTTCATAAAAATAATGATAAATTATATTTAGACAACCATTAAACATTTATCGAAATATATGTTTATCATAAAATATTAAATTAAATAACCACCTCTCCACGTTCTCTCTTCATATCTTGTTCCCGAAGCCAATCTTCCACTGTGCCTGGAATTGTTGATATTTGTGCCTTGTCTGTTTCTTCATTTGTTTTGGCCATTTCAAATGCCTCATCAGTAGAGAAATCTACTTGCAATGTTTTTGGATTAGATACAGGCCAAGTGACACCATGTAATGCATGACGTGTCTCAACTGCTTGGCTGAAAAATAATGTACACATGAACATTATAAAACCAGTAAGTATCTTACTTAAACATTGTAGAAATCTCTCAATCCTAATGGTTGGTATAAACAAACAGTAATAAATAGAGATGTGCCAAATATTTGATTAGTATTCTGCATATTCGGTATCTTTTTGACTATTTGTATTCGGCCAAATTATTTGATTTTATAATTTTTGACAAACCTCTATATAACACAAAACGATAAAATGGTAAACAATTTGCATTTGCAAAACAATGATACACTTAAAAATTTGGCTCAAAATCAGGCTTGGTAAAGATTAAACTGAACAGTATTCAGTCATTCAGTAAAACCACAATTCTTTACATCTAAAGTATTAATATACAAAATTGATTACTGTTGCAATAGTTATATTTTAGGAATTTGATAAAATGAAAATTAACTTACTCTTCGTTTTCATATTTTACATAGCATTTAGATTTGATCCTATCTATCCAAAAGCCTTCTTCTACAATTCTTCCAGTCCTTTGAAGCAGATTTCTCAATTGAGCCAGGGTGAAAGGTCTGACAAGATTTGTTATGTATAAAATACATGATTGTTTATTTCTAGGTGGACTTGGTGGTCTTGCAATTATACTGTCGTTTTCCTTAACTATTGATATTTTTCTATTAGACAACATTTGTATTTCACGAGGTTTGACATCCTTTTCATCACTCCGTTTATTATTTTCCACACTTTCTGAATTATCTATAACAATTTTGGGCAGTACAGGCCTTTCCAGCTTTTCGATAACTTCACGTTTATTCTTCTTGTCTTCAATAACTTCATCAAACTCTGTCGGCTTTACATCAGGTATTATTTCTTTTAGGACATCAGTGGAAATTGTTAAAGATTTTGAAGAGATTGATTTATTGGGCCTGGAACCCCACCTTCTTTTCCTGCTTATCACAATAGGAGCAGCAATTGTGTCCTCTGGTGCAGATTGGGTAGAATCAGTCCTTTCTAAGTGTTTTTCATTTGGTTCCTCCTTCTCCTTTGTAGATATGACAGAATTTTGACTATCCTCTATTTTATGTTCACTATTTTCTACAACATCAGTTTCATCAGTAGATTTTTTATGTTCATTTGGTGACTTTGTTGCCTTAGAAGAGACATTGTCAGTTTCATCTTCATTTTTACTTACCTTATCATTTGTAGACATGTCCTGGTCACTGTCTTGAGTACCTTTTTCACCTTGGTCATCTTTTTGAGACTTATCCACTTCTGTATCTATTGATTCACATTTATTTTCCTCTGCATGCAATTCCAATACTTCAGATTTATCTTCAGAAGATTCTTTAGGAGTTTCAACTTTAGTTGATTCAACTGATTCTCTGTTTTCATTAGTATCTACATCTGATGATACAGCTGTTGTTTCAACTTTGGGTGAAGCAACAGTTGTATCAGCATCTGAAGACTTACGATTTTCAAGAGAATCATCTACTGAATTGGTTGGTTTGCTTGCTTGGTTTTCGGTTTCATTAGAACAGCTTTCTTCTATTTTTACTTCTTCATTTGTTGTTGACATAGGAGTGTTATCTGAAATAGATTCTTCAGTAGGTATGGTGCTTTGAGATATTTCATTACTAGATTTATCTTGCGAAGTTTCCGCTTCCACATCTGGTTCCTCTTGACTGTCGTGATTTTTTTCGGAATCATCTTTGGAGTCACGTGTGGATCTTTTAGATCGATGTTTCGATTTCTTTTTCTCTTCCACACCCTCACTACTAGGAGTATCACTAGAACTAGTGGCACGTGAGTGTTTTCTTTTACTGCGAGGAGATCTATCAACTCTTTCCGGCGTTGATGGTGGACGTGTTAAACAAATCTTCAATTTTTGTATCTCTCCAACATCACCGCCTTCAGTTGTTTTTACATGCCAAACTTGATCTGGGGCATCCTCAGGACTAGCCTCTTTGCCGGGTGTTTGAGGTGCTTTCTGCTCTGGATCAGCAACAATTTCCTTTTCTTGCACTGGTGTCACTTCATCTGCAGATTCATTGTCAGATGAAGCAGACTGCTTTCGGCGTCTAGTTCTAGTTCTTTTTACTTTTTCGATTTTCTTCTCAGGCGAAGCCTTAGTTTTTTTAGTGGCCGTGCGTTCACTCTTGCGACGCATCCTCTGAAAGAAATATAAGATGTGCTGAATAAATACTAAAAGATGCGTAGTAAAAAGAAATAATTTGGTTAAACTGTCTAAGCACCTTGGTTTCAAATGTACCCTTGTACTATTAAATTTGAAATATTTGCTTTCAAACGTGCACTTAATTTCCTTCACGTACAACAGCTAGCAAACAGCCATCTTTGTTTAAATCAGAGAGCGTTTCCAACATCATTCCTATTTTTTTTATTAATATTTAGGCAAAGGCGTTCTCTCATATAACTCTGTCATCGATAAGTTCATGTTAGATATTCGAGAAATGAATTCCTTCGTTCGTTTTTGTTTCCACGCTAAATTTACGAAACAACTATTCATAAAACACACATATCAGAATTTAATGAATATCAAACGTCGTCAACGCATAAGTGGCCAATGAAAAAACGTATTACCCAACGCTTAACACTGAAACGCCAAACAAATCCGTTTTACCGAAATCAAAATAAAACTACTGATGGTTTCACTGTGTGTGCTAGATCCCTTTGTCTAAAACGTTGTTTGTGCTCATAATTATAAACAATAGGGAAGTATTAAAAAAATTAAGAAACTACAAAATTATATGTCACTAGGAGGTTAGACCAGAGAGAATAGAATTGTCAGTGTTATTATGAATCTGATTACTTGGATTAATATCGAGTTGAAATTCAATGAGGAAGTATTTAAATAATAAAAATTTGTTCTTAAACCCAAACAAGATGTCACTATACTCCATTCATTATAACATTAGAAAAAAGAGGAACTCACAACAGCAGTGCAGAACATTTTATTTACAAGATAAGTTTCAAAAATATTTATAATAGTTTTGTTTAAATTTTGAACTTTAGGTAGTCTGAAAGAGTTGGGCAATTTTGCATTTTCTCGGGGTTGAAATGAGACTAGCATTTTCTAAATACATCTTTTACTGAGAGCCAACATGGAAATAAAACTATCTATCTGTTGTTTTGATTGATTCTAATTGTAAGTGTATATAATTAAAATATAATTTAGTTATATCTATGCCGAGAAAATAAAGGTAAACAAAATGAAATTTTTATTATTACTGTTATAACTTTTATTCAGATATTATTAGACTTGATTAAGACATTGGAAAAACTTGCTGAAATGTCAAAGGTAATTGTTGTAGGCCACTCGGGCCTGTACCGTAATCGCAATTTAGCAAAACTTAATAACAAAAAGATAACAACTAAAACAAAACTATAAGAAAACAACAATAAAACAGTAATAATTACTCAATCACCGAAAATGGCAAAACAATAAGAAAGGCAGTAGCATTCACAATTAATTACAATCCCAGATTACGTATTTTCACTATTATTAATAAATCATAATCTGACAAAATTAAAAAGCTGTACTGCCGAAACGTTTGAAGGGATTATAGGCAACGTTTTAAATTTGGTAGAGTTATAGTGACATGAGAATCGTGCCAAAACTAACTAACCCTGCTTCTTTAGGTTCTTTAAGATGAACACTTTTTATTGTAATAATTATTAAATGTTTTAAGTCAGTCAGATACTCATACATTTGTTTATTAGATTAAAAGACAACGGTTAAGTATAGCAGCTGGTATTTAAGTGGATGATTGTTGACATTTTGTCACAAAGTATACCATAAAAAGAACTTTATTTTCATTCTGTCTAATGCTATAATGAATGGAGTATAGCGATGTTTCTTGTCTATGATATTCATTCAAAATTTGTTTCTGATGTAATAAAAGTAAACTGAGTATCGAAAATTAATAAATATGACATAGTTTCGTGTTTCTAATTTTCAAATTAATTTTCATTTATTTGAATTGTAAGTTTAAGTTATTTATTTTGTTACGTGTAAAGGAATGATGTTTGGTTTATATGTCAACATTAGTGATGAGCCAACTTATTGGTTCCAACTCGATTCATTCGAATTCAGGTTTGGAATCAAGAACAAAAAGCGGAGCTCTGAATTCAGCTTAATTTTTTATGTGCAGCATTTCCATATGTGCCATTATGCATCCACACGTCGTATGATATTAATATAAAAATCAATTCAGTCTAGGCTGTTACATAGTACCTGTGAAAGGCGAAAACTTTGCCAACGAATCGCAAAACTAAGGCGGGAGATCTTGTACTAAGAAGAACCGGCAAGAAACTCAGCAAGAGCTGCTTTTTTCTCTCCATGTTTTATTTCACGCAGAGAAGTCTTATCAGAATGTGACTTAATTAGACTATGAAGTCACTTTCCATTAAAATGCATTAATATCAGATCCATTATCCATTATCATATCATCATTCCATTAATATCAGAACTCCTAAATACTCATTGACAATAAAATCAATAAACAATATAATAAAAATATATAATAAAATAAAATCGTCAAAATTAAGTAGTCCAGCGCAGTGCAGTGGGGGGAGCCACTGGCAGCACTAATTGACAAGCTTGACACATAAGTCAGCCATCGCTTCGCTCATCTATATTTGAGGAAATGTACACGACACTACAGCATGACTGCTCTAGGTACTAAATTAGTAATATATTTCAATATAACTGTGTTCTAGAGTAGGTTGAGTAGGAAGTCAATCTATTATTGACAACATAACCTTGCTGTTCGTTACGAACGGACGTTTCTTGTTGATTGCTGAATTTTAATTAAGATGATTTACTTATGAATATAAGATTTAATAACTGATCATAGTTTTATTTATTCTTAATTTATTTGCACGTTATACTTTGCACAAACGTCATGAATGAGGAAGTATTTAAAATTAATAAAAACTACACAAAACTATTTCACTAAATAGCAGCACAAATTGTAGGATTTAAATGTCAATCCATGACGTTAAACCAAAGAGAATAAAATTGTCAGAGTTGTTATGGATCTGATAACTCGGATTAATATCGAGTTGAAATTCAATTAGTTTGAGTTACGGAAACGCAATTCGATTAATTCGAAGTAAACCTTGAAAAAAAATCTTTTTAATTTGTGTAAAGGAAAATGGATATAAACATAATGAAAGTGAGCATAGAGAAGGTTTTTTTTTTCATAATTAAAGGAAATCAATAGAAATAATGCTGTGTAATTATTAGAAGTGGCATTAAGTTAAAGCTAAGCTAATAAATGAATGAAACGAATGAGTGTGACACATTTTCGGTGACTACGACTCTTAGATTGTCAGTTGAGTTAGTGAATACGCCTGCTGGTCTGTGGAGGAATGACATTAGTGACGTAGCTGTCATTTAATGTAATATTAAGTCGAGTTACAAAGTAGGCATTCTATGTGAGAAAATGAATGAATTTCCCTTTGAAATAGCTTTCTTTTTCTAAAAAATGTATCGTATTTACGTTTCCAATAATATAAAATGCTAAGGTATGTTAAACAAATTTAGATCTCATCTCTGGAATAATTTACATGACTTTGACAATAATAATGATAAAGATTATTCATGCAGTTTCCTTTTGTTTTAGTTATGGACCTTCATCGCTATTGTATATCGGCATGCCATTTAACCGTTTAAATGTATTAAAGTGCTTATAGAATGATAAATATATAACTCTCACAGTAGATAAGGTGTTGTATCGAAATGGGTAACCAAAATAGTTGTTGCTGTTACCGAAGTCCTTCGCCGATCAGGAAAGACATCGTTAAACTAGAAGACTATCTTCCGGAAGGTGAAGTAAGCTCTAATAACATCCAACATATTAGTGAAAGAGAACCTGATGATGGAGATATTGATCCTTCCCAAGATCCTATAGCAGGTACCATTTTCATGGAGAGATCTAAAGCTTCCATTGAAAATGGTATGACTAGGAAGCGCAGTCAACATCAAATTGCTGACAAACTTAAGAAAAGTAGTTCATGTTCTACTATATATCTAGATGACAGTACTGTGTCACAACCGAATTTGAAAAATACAGTGAAGTGTGTTGCTCTTGCTATATATTATCACATAAAGAATAGAACATCTGAACGCAGATTAGATATATTTGATGAGAAGCTTCACCCTCTTAATAAGGAAGGGGTATGTGATGACTATGATAAGTATAACCCTGAACACAAACAAATATACAAGTTTGTAAGAACATTATTTAATGCTGCTCAATTAACTGCAGAGTGTGCTATCATCACTTTGGTTTATTTGGAGCGTCTTCTTATCTGTGCTGAACTTGATATAGCACCATCAAATTGGAAAAGGATAGTATTGGGTGCAATATTATTGGCAAGTAAAGTTTGGGATGATCAAGCTGTTTGGAATGTGGATTACTGTCAAATTCTTAAAGATATCACTGTGGAAGATATGAATGAGTTGGAAAGGCAGTTTTTAGAAATGTTGCAATTTAATATTAATGTCCCATCAAGTGTTTATGCTAAGTATTATTTCGATCTACGTACACTAGCGGAAGCTAATGATTTAGCTTTCCCTAGCGAACCCTTAAGCAAAGAGAGAGCTCAAAAATTGGAGGCAATGTCTAGAGTCATGGAAGACAAAATTGCTGCAGAAGTAACTAAGAATGGCATAAAAAAATGGTCAAGCTTAGACAATGTTAATTCAGGTGCTGGAGTCAGACGAAGTGTGGCCATACTGTCATAATTTATTAGTCATAAAATCAGCCAAAATTTAAATCCAAATTAAATCACAAATTACTTGGTAATGTGTTGTGTATTTTGTAATATCATGCTGTATTTAGAAATGCACCGATTATTAATTTTTCCTAACAAGTTATTTTTTATGAAATAAGTTTGTATACACAATTACTTTTATTATCAGTTGAGGTTGTACTAACTAAAACAGTAGATATACAATTAAATATGAATGCAATCAGAAAAATGTGTCATCACAAAATCAAAATATATTAGCCCCACATTTACTTCTTCAGTGTAAGATAAATTTCAAGGAATATGTCACACTGTTTTAGTGTTTGCTGCATAAAGTTTTTGACATACTGTGCTGGATTTCAGATATGTGTACTGTGTGAATATTAATTTATTATATATATTCAGAGTTAAAACTAAGACTTAATTGTAAATTATTTAGCAGGCTGTTTTTTTATTGAATATACAGTTTTATTATTAACAGTTTTGTGCAAGATAACACTTAATATCAATATTTCTGCAAAGTTTTATATTTCTAGTATTTAATCCAGACCCTTATGTCAATTAACTAAACCAAAATGGTATTATGCTATTTAGTCATACATATTTCAAAGTCAATGTAATTAAGTATCAAGTTTTAATACTAATGTAGTCATTAAATTGAAAGACTTGTAAGTGGTCCAATAGTTGTTTTAAATTTTTACATTTAACTATAATTCATTTGATAATTACTCCCCAATTTTTGTGTTTGTCTTATATCGGCTTCCAATTATTCTTACTTTTACTGTTTTAACATGTTAGAAGCACTAATATAAATAGGTTGCTTCCAAAACTATGCTATTTAGTATATAATTAGAATTATTAGAATGTGCAACTGCTAATTTGACTGACATATGAATCTTGCGATTGTGTAATGAATGTTTTACTCACTCAACTGCTATACTTTTGTATAATTTTACATTTTAATGATGCATTTAGAATTCTCAACATAGTTATACATTTAAGGTCTAACTCTGTACATTCATTAGCTGAATTTATCACTGGGAAAAATGTAAATAATATGTATTTAAGACTTAATTATTATTATTATACAAATTGCAGTGTATTAATGGATGCAAAGAAATTTCCACTGCTCCTATCAATATGTCAGTGAGTGTATAGTGTAAGATCATAAATTTTATGCCAAATTATTGTATGTAACAAATTATTTTCGATGATCTTGACTAGACAAAATTATTAATTTTTCAATATTTTATTAAATTATATGAATAAAGACAGTATGAATATTTTATGTTAATGGAACAATAGTGATTAAATTATTTATCATTATTTAGATTGTGATTGAATTATACAATCAGTACTTTTACGTATCTTTAATGTAATTAAGCAGAAGTAAACATTTTATATGAGACTTTTAATGGTTTTTTAATTATTTGTATAAACACTGACACTTCTAAAATAAAATTTAAAACATAAACAATGCTATTCAATTTTTTTATTTCAATGAAGTTCTGATTTTAAGATAATGGTTTCAGATCTTTTAAGTAAGAGCTGTAATTTTCAAATATATCGATATCACTCTTTTTATTTGTCATGTCATCATATTCCGGTCCAACAGACCAAAGTGTTTCCAAATCATATGATTGCCTTGTTTTTTCTGAAAAAATGTGTAATGCTATGTTACCTGTGAACAAAGAATCATATGAGTCTGCACCTTTAATATGAAACCAAATATATAACATATTATATTTTACCTAAATCTATAGCTATCCATTCATCAGAATTCTTCCCTTCTAACCGAGGTATTGGATCACTTTTATGACATTTTTTCTTATAAACTTTTTTCACAAATTCGGCTAATGCCTGTATATGTCTTTTACTGCGACCACTTACAATGCAAATGTAATCAACATAGTTTATATGTACAGGCACAGTCGCTACAAATATATCTTTCGAGTTTTCTCTGTGAAGAAGCTCAACTAAATCTTCTATCTCAAATACACCGGCTTTCCCTCCTGCAACATAATTATGTTTTTAGTTCACGTTTCAGAAAATTTTCTGAGACAATTGCAATAATTCAGTGATGTATACAAAATAACATTTACTCACTTTTCAGATTAATTCCGTCGTATTCATCGCTTAAAATTGGGTAAGGATTATCGTAATAAATTTCTTCAGCTGTGTTTTCGATCACAGGGGAGTTATCTTCACTAATCACTTGATATTTGCTGGAGATTGCAGGAGAAGCTCCACTGTTTGGCTTAGATGTTTGTCGTGGATTTTGTAAGCAAACTCCACAATGTATTTGTCTGTTGATTTTACGACTATACGAAGAACATTTCTGTATGTTCTTGCTTTGGCAATGACGAACGAATGTCCGTGACATCAAATTTCTAAGCATTATAGACTAAAATATGTACAATTAATAATTCTTATAAATAAATCAACAAGATAATCGAACTATTTAAAACAAAAAAGTAAGTTACTTTTTTTGTAGTTTCTGATTTTATGAGTAAAATTAAAAACACTCAAAATGGTCTTCTTTTTCTTGCACTCAAATTTTGATTGATATGATCAAAGCGAAAAATAATATAAAGGGAATATGATACATTTTTGTGACAGTGACAGATATCACAAACAGTGTTTATTTATATTAAAGCATAGGGATTATACCCAAAATGTCTTATAAAATAAATACTAATACAAATACTATTTTAGATTAACTTCAAATCCCTCGGACAACTAAAACTACCAGGAACACTGTATCCATATGACACAGGATGTGTCGAAAAGTTGTTAGTCTAGCAGGCCGAGGCAATAAGTATGAAATAGTAATAGGTCGGGGTTCATAAGGGTTCCACATTAAGTCCAATACTTTTCAATACTACGATAGATCTTTTGACAAAACAATGAGAAAAGCCGTTCCTTGGAATCTTCTTTATGCGGACAATGTAGTACTTATTTCGGACAACGTTGACTATCTGCAATAAGACATAAACAACTGGGTTAAGGAGCTTGAAACGAACGGTCTGAAGATAAATAAGATAAAACAGAGCATATCTCTTGCCTTCTTGACAGTAAAACCCAGCATGTCGGAATTTAAGTACTTGGGCTCAATGAGGAAGTATTTAAAAAAGAAAGCACTAAAAAAGTACCTCATTAGATGGCGACTCTAGCAAAAGTTGATTTTTGCAGTCCATTCATACTGAAATTTGCAAAATTTGAAACTAAGATATCAATACAAATACGAAAAGTACAAATAGAAAATGAGTTGTTTATTGAGTTTTGAAATTAATTTATACATGAAAGAAAACCGGCAAGGTTGTCATGGAGAAATCAAGAAAGTACCATAGCGACATCTAGTTTGATTTCCGGAACTAATGTTTTTTTGTAAATACTTCCTTCTTGTCACCGGTGACGGGAAGATTGATAGTGATGTTACACACCAAACCACCACAAGCTATACTCCATTCATTATAACATTAGAAAAAAGAGGGTCATAGAAGCACCAGTGCAGAACATTTTATTTTCAAGATAAATTTTAAATTTTTATTATATATAATAGTTTTGTTGCAACTTTGATCGTTAGGTAATGTTTGAAAGAGTTGGGCAATTTTCCATTTTCTTTTGCGATGAGAAAAGAATTTTCTAAATTCATCTTTTACTCCCAATCCAATATGGAACTATAACTATGTATCTGTTGTTTTGTAAATGTATAATTATAATAGAATCTAGATATATTTATGCCCAGGAAAGGTCAACAAAATTAAATTTTTATTATTACTTTTATAACATTTATTATGATATTATTAGATTTTTGATTAAGATATTGAAAAAACTTCCTGAACTGTAAGAGGTAATTGTTGTAGCTCATTCGGATCTGCACCGGAATCGTCCATATTTAGCGAAACTTAACTACAAAAAAATAACAACTAAACAAAATTATAAGAGAACAAAAATAATACAATAACAACTCAATCACGGAATACGGTAAAACAACAAGAAAGGCAATAACTTTCACAATTAATGAGAATCCTAGATTACGTATTTTGACTATTATAAATACATCATAATCTGACAAAATTAAAAAGCTGTACTGTGTAAAAAGCTACCCAAACGTTTGAAGGGATTGGGCCACGTCTTAAATTTGGTAGAGTTATAGTGACATGAGAATCGTGCCGAGACTATCCAACCCTGCTTCTCTAGGTTCTTTAAGATGAACACTTTTTATTGTAAGAGTTATCAAATCTTTTAAGTTAGTCAAATACTCATAATTTTGTTTAACAGATGGCTAAAACAACAACTGTTAAGTATAGCAGCTGGTATTTAAGTGGATATATAGCAAATAAGCCGTCAATCTTAAGAGTAACATTTTGCCACAAAGTATACCATAAAAAGAACCTTATTTAACTTCTGTCTAATGCTTTAATGAATGGAGTATAGATGAAGTGGAAATAACTCACGAGTATCAAGAGTGACAAGAAACTAGGCACGTAAAAAGACTAATAGACTGTTGTATAAGACAGCACTTCGACCTGCTGTATCATACGGATCGGAATGCTGGGCAACAAACAAGCATCATCTTAAAAAGTGGCATACTAACGAAATGAGCATGCTTCGATGGTCAGCAGTTAAAAAGGAGTGGATCTCTCCTCCTATCCAGGAGTACTCCTATTAATTCTCCTATTCCTATAAAACTCCTATTAAGGAGTATTACTCCTTAATAGGATCCGGAACGAGTACATTAGAGGAAGTTTTAGAGTCGTTCTAAAAATCGAAAAGAAAAATGCTTTAAGTTGTACGAAGGAGAAAGGTCATGTATATAAGGCGTAGAGTTTGGCAAGCGAAACGTGACACCACCTATTTTTCCGTTTTCATATGGCAACAACATAGAACTGTCAGTTTGACACTACGTTAGACAATTCAAGAATATTGAATTTTGTTGTTTTTGCGAATTTGAACTTGTGTTTTTGGTTAAAAATTATGTCGAAGCCGATAAAAAGTTCATCGAGGAAACTTCTTTCCATCATGATTGACAAGTTTACTGAAGTGAAAACTGAATTAAATAAAAATTTCATGGAGAAATTACAACGATTAGATAAAGTTGTATCTTTTTTAGGTTAGTTTTGTATTATAATTTTGATACTTTCGTTTTAATTTTCTGTAATTAACTAAACAGATATTTTTTATAAAATATTGCTCTATTTCAGATAACTGTGATGGTGATATTCAACCAATAATGGAGGAGATAAATGCAATAAAAACTTTAGAAAAACAAGAAATGCTGAATTCGGAAACGCAGTACTTACAAAAAATTTCTTCAATGACAGGTCTCTTTTCTTGTTTTGATTTAAGATAGATTGATAGTATTCCTATAATATTTACATAGGTTTTTTATGATGTATTGGTTTTTATTGTTGACATCCAATGATGTCATAAGAATGTTTTGTTTAACAAGGAAATTCACAGAATTCATGAAACTAATCAAACCATGTAATTGTTATACATGCTAAATATGCACATAAACTTAACTAAATTAAACATAAATTGCATTCATAGTTGAATAGGTATTTAAATTATTTTGATGTATGTGTCTATCATTATTTGCTTTTAAATACATTTAACATATCTTTGTTTCAAAGTGTTTAATCTTTTATAGATGTAAGTATAAGGACACTAAGAAGGATAAAAAATGAAGCATTAATTAATAAAGGAAAATGGGACACTCCTGGGAAAAAACGACCTCATCAACCAACAGTGTCTGCTTTAGATAATTTTGATTTAAGTGCAATTCGGAATAAAGTAAATGAATTTTACTGTGTGAAAAAAATTGTTCCAACATTAAGAAGCCTTCACAATGAATTAAAAGATGCAATAGGATTCAGTGGTAGCCGTGAGACTTTACGAAAAATTATGCTTAAGAATGGATTTTCTTTTAAAAGCAATGAAAATGAACGTTCTATGCTTATAGAAAAATACCAGATTTCTGCATGGAGGCACAAGTATTTGAGAGAAATAAATATAAAACGAAACGAAGGAAAGCAAATTGTGTACCTTGATGAAACTTATGTACATCAGAATTATAAAGTTAAAAAGTCTTGGCAAGGACCTTCAACAACTGGTGTCACTACAAAGATATCCTCTGGAAAACGGCATATTGTTGTGCATGCTGGATCTGAGGAAGGTTTTGTGCCTGGTGCATTATTAGTGTTCAGTAGTAAATCCAAATCTGCTGATTATCATGATGATATGAACTCATCGAACTTTATGAAATGGGTCAGAGAAAAATTAATACCAAATTTAAGTAAGCCCAGTGTAATTGTTATGGATAATGCCAGCTACCATATAAAACAAATCAATAAACCGCCTATAATGTCTAATACCAAAGCAGATATCCGTAAATGGCTTGTAAATAATGGAATACATTTTGAGGAATATCAGACAAAGGCAGAGTTAATGTGTTTGGTTAATGATAAGAAAACATTGCCTGTATATGAAGCTGAAGAGATTTTAAAAGAACATAATCATGAACTTTTATTGCTGCCACCGTATCATTGTGACTTAAACCCAATAGAGATGGTTTGGAGTCAAGCAAAAAGAAAAATTGCAAGCAGAAACATTGGAATACCAGGAAAGGAAATGGAAAACTTAATAATAGAGTGTTTTAACTTAATTACCCCTAGTGACTGGAAGAAATACACTGATCATGTTTTAAATGTCGAAAATGATTACAAATTAAAAGATGGCATTGTTGAAAACGAACTTGAAAAATTTATTATATCTGTTGGTGCAGACAGTAGTGAAGAGAGTGACTCTGATGATTCCTTGTCATTGTTATCAGGTGTAGAATATTTAGAAACAGATTTTGACTATGAATCAGACTAAAGTATTTTTAGTCTGATTCATAGTCAAAATCTTATCTTAAATTTTCTATTGTGATTAACATGATGATTTTGTGACACCTGTATTATGTAATTTATCCATGGCACTTAATTGTAACAAAAATAAATGTTTTTTTTATTGTAATCTGGTGTTTATATTGACTAATTTAATTTGATAGATAGTGGTTCTGGATCAGAGCAAAAGGTTGTGATGAAAATCCCTTAGGAGACATGTATGTGTTATGAACACATTATAAATATAAGGGCCAGAAATCAAAATTGGCTAACATCACATTTATTAAAAAAATGTGGCCAGAGTCGCCCATATTCATTACAAAAAAACAAAGAAGTCGTTGCAAAAAACACCCTTTTAATTAATGACAAATATGAATTTTTAATATTATAAGTGCTGTTAGCCAATAGGTATAACGAATGGGTTAAAAAAAAGATTCGATTTAGTCCGTCAGTCAGATAATAGAAAAATATTGGATACGTATTTTTTTTCGCTTTAATTTAACAA